TTCACTTATACATCCCCAAGTTATGCCTGCCTGCCACACGCTGGCTCTTAACCACACCCTAAACCATGCCTTGATTTGAGGGGCTTTCTGCCTGGTGCAGGCACAAACCAGACCCTCCCAACACACACACTCAGTACTCCCCCACAAGTGGCTTTCAAGGCACTGGAGTCAGGCCCAGCCCACTTCTCTGCCTCACCTGGGCCCTGCCTTCACTAGCGTCCAGTGGCCTCCTCACTGTCGATAGAGCGCTCCAGCCTCTCTCCCCTGGCCTTTCCTCTCCTGGTGATCTTTCCAAGTCCCACTGCCTCTATGAACCCCCTAGGACAGAGAACAGAAGCCAGAGGCTCAAAGTTGGATGAATTGGGGCTAGGGTCTTAGCTGTGCCACTTAGGCAGCACCTTAGAACTCTGCCGCCAGGGCGTAACACACAGGGTGCCCCTGGTAAACTCAGGCTGCCTCCCCTCTGCTCAGGGTGCGCTTGGCACTTGGGTGGTCTGTTGTTTTTATTGCTTTATTTGCTTTGTTTTCCCAGTTGGACCATAAAGTTCCCTAAAACATTTACATTATTTGCTTTTCTGATTCATAACCATTCACAGTAGGAAATGGAGAAAATCTATTACACTCCAAAAAGTAAAATGAAAGCACTTAGAGTTTTCCCGAGATAACACTGAAAACATTTTGGCAACTCGCTTACACCTTCTCTACATCATATCATATTGCGTGGATTTTTGTGTCTTGCTTTTCTTCACTTTACACTACAAGGCAAGCATTTCCCCATGTCAGAAATTCCTTAAAAATGTGTTCTTTTGCCAGGCACAGAGACTCAAGTCTATAATTTCAGCTACTTAGGAGGCAGAAGGTGGGAGGATTGCTTGAGACCAGGAGTTTGATACCAGCCTGGCCCACATACTGAGACCCCATCTCTAAACAAACAAAACATACATGCATGTATTTTTAGAGACAAGATCCTATCTGATGCCCAGCTGGAGTGCAGTGGTGTAATCAAAGCTCACTGCAGCCTTGAATTCCTGGGCTTGGGGGATACTCTCATCTTGGCCTCTCAAGTAGCTAGGACTACAAGTACACATCACCATGCCAACTATTAAAATGTTTTGCAGAGATAGTGTCTCACTATGTTGCCTAGGCTGGTCTTGAACTCCTGACCCCAAGGAATCCTTCTGCCTTGGTCTCCCAAAGTGCTAGGATTTTAGGCATGGACTACCATGCCTAGCTAGGCAAAACAAGTTTTTTAACATTTGCCATAATGCTCCAGCATCAGGACCATTACCATTTATTCAATTAACACTTCTGTAAGGAAGGAAGGTCAAGCAGGGTCTTCAGATACCAAGGCCTACACTAGCATACTTGGAGCTACACATTTGCCAATCACTAATTACCTTCCTTCAATGTTGATTAAATGCATTTCTTCCCTTCTCCTAAGACAGCCCATTTCCTATGGACAAAGGAGCCAGCATGGATGGGCTGGGCAGTAGATGTGTGAGCCACATTCTCTTGTCTGTCTCCACCCGCTAAACCTCCCCTCCTTGGGTCTTGTATCAGTCCTGTCAGGGAGCATCTGGCAGCCCTGCTGCCCTGGCCCCTCCAAATTAAAGGCCCTTTCTGCCTATAGACAAGAGAGTATGGATAAAGTTTATCTTGCAATCCTGGCTTGTCGAGCTCAGTCATAACCTCAGAGGAGGAAGAGCTGAGAGGAAGAGGATGTAGAGTCTCAACAAGGCAGGATCCTGGAGGCCTTCAACTTTCAGAAGGGCTTAAATATGTTCTGTGTGGCCCCAAAAGGTAAACCAGGGATCAAAAGCTAGAAACCACAGAGAAACAGATTTGGATCCAACATAAAGAATGCTTAAAGGGAAGGTATGGAGGGGAGAGGCAAAAACCTACCTATGGGTAAAAGGAACACTATTTGGGAGATGGGCACACCTATAGCCATGACTTAAGCATTACAAAAATGATCCAGGTAACTAAAAACATCTGCATCCCCTCAATATTTTGAAATTAAGAAAAAGAAAAGAAGGCACGCAAGTCTGACATCAACGAGAGCAATGCAAAGAATGAAAGGAGTGTAGTGAATCTCTTGTCACTTAAAAAATATCAGGCAGAAAGGATGATTAGACAAGATTATGTTAAAGTCCCTTCTACCCTGAGCGAGCTGTGTGGCACTCGCAAACTCCCTGCACTCCTCGCCAACATCTCACAGGAGCTTGTGGAAATCTCACTACAGCACCTTGTCTGTGAAACAGCCTCACTTTCCAGATGTTCCTAGAACATCTCAAGCCTGGCTTCCTGGGAACTGCTTGTATATCTTGTAGAAGACTCTCCAGGGCATTTCAGAACCAAAAGAAACATTTGTAGCCTTTTGAAAACCAAACCACATGGGGATACACTGCCGCTAACGTGATATAAATTATACTTTATGCAACAATGGAGTGTTTTACTAATGAAAACGCTCCCTCTTCCTGTGTTTTCTTCTTTTTTTCTGGTTGTTAGAAACTAATTAGATTTATAGCACATCTGGCCATTCATGTGTGTTACCCAAGATGCTCTGCAGGGCTGTTCAGGCCACTCAGGGTATCTGAACTGACAAGCTCAACTGAGGTGCCCTCAGCGGGCCATCCACCAGAACAGAAAAAGGCCCTGTAAGGACAGAGTTGCTGGCCTCCCTTGATGAAGAAGGTTCTTTGAGTGCAGAAACAGACACATTCTACCAGACACCTTGTGCTGCGGGTGGATTTCTGGCCCATGGCCACATTTCCCCAAATGCTCACCCAGCTGCGCTTTGGTCTTGGAGCCTAGGTAGAGGCAGTGCAACAGTGCTGGGGAGACTTGGGGTTATTCAAGGGGTGAGAGCCTTACCCTTTCCAGTATCAGCAGAAGGAGGGGTGAGAAGTCAAGAGCTCAGTCTCTAAAATATCAAAGTATAGAGAGGGGACATTCTGTGGTCCAAGACCACCCCCACTTGCCTATCTGTTGGCCAGTCTGATGGAGGGGTGAGCTAAGACAGGGAAGGCCTCTGAACCCTCAGAGCCAGAGGCCAACTTGAATCCCCACCCACTGCCTGAGCCCCCCTACCCCCAAATCCTGGGTTTGTCATCCTTCCCCAAGGAAAGTGATGAGTCAGAGGTTAGGTCACAAGAACTGTAAATATACTCAGTTTAACTTTTAAAAAGAAAGAAAAATGAATCATTATTTTAAAACTTACGATTTTTTAAAACTGAAAAATAACTGCCCTAAGGGCAATTTGGCAGAGGGATTGTTGCATAGGTCACTGCCTGCCCTGCAGATGGAGATGGGCCTAGATGAGCTGGGTTATCCTACCCAGTGTCCCTCCTGCAAGACTCAGGCCAGCTTTCTTGGCAGGCTGCTATCTGGAAGACACTAAACACAACTGTCAGTGGGAAACCAACAGAGCCCCCCACTGGAGAATAGAGAGCAGGCAGTGGGAGCTCTGTGTCCACACTGAACACTGCCCTCAACTAACACAGCAGAGAAAAATGGGACAGGTTAGAGAGACCCACTTCAGAGAAAAGGGTGACTCAGCATCCATTCAGGACCACATTCAGGGGACTAGAAGAGCAGGAAATAGGCCTTCAGGACATGAGGAGGAGCAGGGGCAGGCAGGGCTTGATAAGTTAACACAAACAACACTTTCATGCAAGAAGGTGAGGTAAAGCACACAGGTGGTGTCATTTGCTCCCAGTACCCCCACAGGAGACAGAGGCTGTGTAGCATTGTGGTTAGAGCATGACCCTAGATCCAAAGCACATTTCCACCCTGCCAATTACTGGCAGTGTGACCTCAAGTAAGCCACTTAGCCACCTTCATCAGGAAAAGGGAGATGATGGTATTAGCACATACTTCAGGGCTGCTAGGAAGATGCAACGGGCTAATTCCTATAACCAACTAAGAACAGCGCCTAGCACACAGCGAGCACTACCAAGTGCCAGCTACCATGGGTTTTACCATGATGTCAAGTATCTGTCCCAAGGGTGCCCCACCCACAGCCCAGCCCACATGGATGCAAAAGCTTCCAGGAAAGAGATGACAACAGGTACCCTGTTCTGAGTTACTTTCTGAAATGACAGAAGGAACACTGATCTTAGGTGGGTTCCTACTCCATAGGGAGCCACAAGAAGAACATCTTTGTTTTTCCTTTCCTTTTTTTGGACTCCTGGCATTTTCTAAAAGAGTACAGAAAAGCAAGCAATACCAGGCATGATGACTCATTGCTATAATCCCAGTAACTCCAGTGTTTTGGGATGCCAAGATAGGAGAATTACTTGAGGCTAGGAGTTCGAGACCTGCCTGAGCAACATAGTGAGATCTCCATCTCTACAAAGAGAAAAGAAAAGAAAAGAAAAGTAACCAATCTTTTAAACTAACAACTCAGCCTCTCTGGGCCTTCTCTGAGGCTGTGAGTATATAAATGCTCTGTAGCTCTGGTCTCAGCCCCAGGCACTTGACCTTGGCTAGGCAGGGACAAGGCATTTGTGCTAGAAACAAGATTCCTTGCTTCAGTGAAAAATGACTTGATTGTATAGTTTTGGGAAATAAAGGAAACTCTTGGCATCTGGACTTAATGGGATATGGAACCACAGCAGGGAACCTGGTGTCCTGGCCACCAAAACTCCTGGTGTCTGGCTTAGAATAAGCTGTCCTTGATGGCTCACTGTACAGCACATGGTCTGAAGCCTGAGAGTGAGACTGGGGTGGGGGGGCAAAGGTCTGACTCAAGGGCCCTTCTTCCCAGGATGCAGATCTGCACAGAGCTCTCCTTCTGGAACTGTTTCTGGGGCAAAGAGAGAGAAAGGCAGAGCTTGGAAAGAAGGCACATGACACATAACTGACTTCCCAGTATCTGAGTGACCTCAGTTGGCTCTTCTCTGGGATATGAGTCTATATACTGTTGCAAACTCTAGCAGGGCGAGAGGGAGCCAGGGAGGCACATGTCCGCTGAGCAGTGCTGAGCAGTGGGCACTTACCAGGAAGTGGACATCATCAAAGCCATTCAGAAGCAACTTGCTCTCATATTGCTGTAGCCCAATCGACTCCAGCCACTCCCCAACACTCTGCTCCAGTGTCCGCGAACCTGATGAGAGAGGAATCGGCAGACGCTTGAAAAGGGAAAAACCATTAAGGCGGTAGCAGCGGCACTCAGAAGAAGACAGATGGCATTGCCACATCATAGTCATTACCATAAAGCAGCCAAACTATATACAAGAGACCAGAGAGCAGCAGACACGCAGCTCCTCTTCTGTGTACAGGCCAAGGGCAGGACTGCCTGGTGCTGCCCCCACACGGCCCAGTCTCGGGTGGCTGTCGCCCAATCACACCCCCTTGGTCTGAGCTGTTCCAGGGCCACGGTGGCACATGCACGATCTCTGCTCACAGGTCAAGGGGAAGCCAAACCCCAACAGTCTCTGGGTCAACTCCTCATCAGTGTTCACACTGAGGTATTTCAGAAAGTCTGTTCCCACAGGCGCTAAAGGGGGCCGGGGGGGTGCCTAAGAGCCTGCAAGTCCCGCTGCTCCTCTCATCCATGCAACTTCTGGAGCCCCTGCAGGGCTGTGGCCAGGGGCAGCTCTGAGACCTTGCGCAGCACACACTGGTCAGGAGAGGGCACACATCTCCATGCAGCGGAGGGGCACAGGCACACACCAAGGATTCCAGGAGGGAAGAAGCGGTGGCTGTTCACAGGGACCCAGCACATGCAACACAAGCAGCACAGAACACGGCAGGGGGAGAAAAGGGACTTTTACTTGTTTTCCCCCAGCAGTCCCGGAATAAGCAAACCATGGCCACGGGCCCTTTGTGCTCAGAGGCTCAAGGCAGCAAGGGATGAAGTGGGGAGCATGGGCCAGAGCTCGGGAGTCAGCCTCAGGTGTAGTTCCGCTGGGACAGCAATATTGCATTCCGCCAGACTGCGTGGCCAGTGGGCCAGGAGCCCGGTCCACAGCTAGACTCCGGCAGCTGGCGAGCAGGGCGTCTCCTGGGCCAGCATGCTGTCTGAAGTACTGCCTTCCTGGGGTGGGCTGCTTCTCACAGGCTGGACATTCATGTTCCCCTTCTAATAGTGGCTGCTCCCATGACTTGCGTGCCTGCTCTGGTGGAAAGCAGGCAGGCAAATTCAGTTATTGGCTAAAGAAGACAAAATCCAACCAGATAACAAGAGAGAAAAAGGAAATGGTCTTCTGTTAGCTGAGCTGTGGCAACTTAAGTCAGTTCACGTTTAGAGGTGTTTCCTCTTGGCTGAGCGATAAAGACAGCAACAGTCTTCCTAGGGTCTCCAGATCTCAATGTTCTCTAAGGATTCGTGGGAAAGGAGGACATTTATTTGCTATGCTCCTTGGTCAGGACAAGAATTGTGACGGTGCAGGGAGGACCAAAGTTCAGCTTTTTGTGGCAGACCTTGATGTTGTAAAGCTGAAGGCCTTAAATCCCATCTACTCATCCAGTTCTCATGAGCAAGAACAGGAAAAAAAAAGGCAGGGGGGAACCAGAAAAGGAGAAAAGAGAGGTGCAAGGGAAGAAAAAGAAAACCAACAATAAAAACATCACCTCCAATGAACTCTTGACACGGTGAAAGTCATTCTGCTGTCCCCAGGCACATTTTGCTCCTTGGGGCAGGACAATGCCAACTTGCTTGTTTATTTAAAAGACCCTGGTAACCAACTGTGCCAGCTTCCACCCCTGTCCTCTGCAGCATAGATGGTGGTCAGGGACCTGCATGGCCTTCCGGACGCAGGCTGCAGCTGTACTCCAAGATGCCGAGTCTGGGGGGTACATAGAGCTCCCCTGCCCTTGAATAGGGAAGTCTGCTCCAGGAACCTAAACGGCAGGCTTCTGTGTGCCCATGAAGTCAAATGTCCCCAGTTGCTGATTCATTCCTGTTTGTAATCGCCAGCTGGGCAGCTGTGATCGTCCCTGCTGCCGGTGGATCTGTGCCCTCACAGAGCTGCAGCAGAATGCTTTGTCTAAGGCTCCTGGGCTCCTTGCTGCCTGCTGCCGGCTCCACAGTCCTTGCTCACTCCCATAATGTCTGGCCCTCCCCTTCCTCCCTCCCTCCTCACCCTCCCTTCTTCCAAGCTCAGGAAAATACATCAGGGATCGGACATCACATTGGAGCAGAAGCTGCTGCTGCTGCTGAGGGAGAAGGAGACAGCAGCTCTAGCATCAGAGCAACATGACAGATTTCCCAATATCTGATGTTGGCCGACACAAATGCACATGAAAGGTAGAGATGTGGAACTTTACCTCCAGCACAAGGGGCTGGAAACAGCTTCTCAGGAAGAGCAGGGAGAGATCACTCCTATAGCTTTGGTTGATGGTTTCTAGGACAGCCAGGAGAAGGGAGAGAGGGTATGGCCTGCAGGTAAGTGATACCCCACCCCCTACCCCCAATTCAGGAATAATCATGCTTCTCATCACAAAAACAGGGATGAAATAAGGCTGCTCCCCTTGATGCTCCTTAGATGGGCATACCAAAGACCTGGGACAGATCTCTCTTTGGGCCTGTTAGTGCTTAGAAGGAAAGCGTCATGCTCAGAGCTGGCATCTGGAGGAGGAACAGCCAAGGACAGAGGAAGATAGGACAAAATCCCAAGTACAGCTGCAGAGGGACTAAAAAGGTAATGTGTGCACAGAGACCAACATCCAGAAAATAAATGTCACCCTCTAAATATGCTCAGAGATCCCTGTACCCCACCAGGCTGCATACAGATGGGCATTGGCAGAGAGGGCTCTGTGTACAGGGAGGTCAAACCTCTGAAGGAGCCTGCATTTAACAGCTACTCAACACCTAAAATAAGCTGCCTTTAGCAAAAAAAAAAAGCCAAGCAAGCTCTCTCCTGCTTGACAGAGCATGCCTTTGTTGAAAGAAGCCAGAGTCACTAGGCCAGTGGGAATGCTTACCCTCTTGGACTCCTGAGAGTGGGAATTGGCAGAAGGATAAGTTAGTTGTAAAACACATAGGAGATTTAGGTAGCTAGATCCAGGGCTGGTGACCCAAAGGCCCATGGCCCCCAATAGGACTGAGACTCCAATACTGTGATCTAGCCTTTTGGTGGGGATCCTCTGAAAAACCAGTCACACTGAGCAGTGTCAAGTTCAGCTCAGTGCAGGACTGCTGCTAGAGGACCTACTCTTCCTTTATCCAGGTTGCCAATCCTAGAGCCTAGGTCTATGCTCCTCAATTTCCAATTCCAAGGACATTTTGAACTCTGATTTTGATCAGTCAAAATATATTGTGATTCTGTTTTGGTCTGAGCTGAAGATGGTGTTCGCTGAAGTTCTAGGGATAACTCCCTCTGACCCATCAGATTCATGGGCAGCCTACCCTCTTCATGTATTGTGGCCTGGCAGTGGTACAGACATAATGAATGGGCTGGGCTCTGTAGCATGGGTGGATGAACATTCCATTTAGGTAGCCACCTGCATGTGTCTGCTTTTGACTTTCCTAAGCTGAGGCATAAAGGATGGTTAAAAAAATGAATACTAAAACAAGACTGTATATTGAGACCCAGAAACCCAAGGGTATAGACAGAATGCTTCTTGACACTTATGTAGGCTCAGGGGTGGGCAAGAACTGGTGGGTGGGACCACAATGGCAAGGAACGAGCTCAGTGTTAACACCTTCAAGAGGAAGGGCTCCTCCCAAGGTGCTGCCACATGCCTTGATATATCAAATCCAAGATGGAATGGCCTGCTCTGACTCAAAGTTCTCAAGTATATACAAGTGATTTTGGCTCCTGCTCTATGGACAGAGGGGAATAGGATAGCAGAAAGTGGCCTCAACTGTACTAACTACCATTGATGCCATCTTTGACTGTCCCCAAACACAGCTGTGAAAATAGTAACAGTATCTTAGTTGAACATCTATTCCCCCCAAAATACCCGGCCTTTGGAAAAGCCTGTGAACTACAACAGAGTGTGAAATTGCTCCAATGAGCATAAGCAATTGCCTGGAAACAGATCCAGATAAGCCACCTCTGCAGATGCTAATATAATATAACCCAAGACTGACAAGGATGGACCAAACCCAGCTCAGGCCACTCTGCTAGACCCCAGGGAAATACGGCTGCGGGAGGGAAGGTGGCTCTAGGTTTCTTGATGTGACTAATGATTTCATGGGCAAAACTGGGCTTAGCTACTACTTACTGAGCACTTCTTTAACTCAAATATTTGAACATATTACTCATTCACAGGTTGGTACTATTATCCACAGGTTGTGGATGGTAACTGGGGTTGGGAGGGGTGTCAGATATGTCAAACAACTTGCAAGACATATATGTATCTAGAGCCAGGATTTGAACCAAGGGCTGGGAGGCTCGAGAGCCCAGGCCCTCCCCGCCAAGTCCTTGGTCTCAGTAGCTCCTCTCCTCCCTAATGTGTGCACTTGAGCCTACCCATTGGACTTCCTGCTAGGCCTACAGAAGCCCATGGAGGCACTGAAGGATGGTTCCACTCAGGGCTGATGGGTCAATCCTGGATGGAGCTTCTCAAGTGAGCAAGGAATTCCTCTCCTTCAGCACAACAGAGGCATTTTCATCTATGGGGAGAGAAGCCATGGGCTGCCTTTAGCCTGGATGCCAGGAGTGTCTTCAGTACCCTGGGGAAGGGGATTGGGAAGCCCCTTAAGAACATCACCTGAGAATTTAACACAGTACAATCTTATTCTCAGGGAAAACAGTTCAGATGGCTTCCCATTCCCCGTTTCAAAGAAAATAAAGGCAGACCTCATTCTTAGGGCTTAGAAATGAACAGAATGACCTAAGTAGCAATGACACAGAGTAAAAATGACAAGTGATTAACTTGACTGAGAAACAAAGAAATAGACACAAAGAGGAAAGGGGAGCCTCCAGGTGGCTGGAGATGTGCTTATAAGTTTGAGACCATAACTCTAACCCAATGCTCTGCCACTGCCAGAGCCATGTTCTCCTGAAGAATTAATGCCAGAGCCATCTTGGAAGCTGAGAAGACCAACACAGAGGTGCACTCCAATCTAAGCCAACCTGAGAAAGCCTACATTTATAGAAATAATGAATAAATGACAATCGTTCATTTAAAAAATGTTTCCTAATAGGCAGCCTAAAACTCAGTTTGTATCCTTCCCCAAAATATGGAAAAGGAGTGAGGGCTCTAAAAATAACTGTAAGGAGTTCTATCTAGATTTAGGAGGCTCTGAACAATAAGAGCATGAAGCGATCTGAGGCTATCCTCACTCCAAATTTTTGCCTCCTGTGTGAGATGAAGAGCTGAGCCAGACAGGAGCCAAAGGTCTGTGTCCCATGGGGAAAATGGCTGCTTGGTACAATACCTGAGATCTTCTGCTGTTCCTGAGAAAAGTCAATCCCTTCTCCAATAGAACTCATGATTTTCTCAATCTGAAATGGAAGAAAGGAACAAAGAGGAGAGACAGTCAGGCTTGGGGGTTGCCAGCTCATCATGAGTGCCACCGAGGCTGACCTCCAGGTCTCTTTCAGAAGATTCTCAAGTCCACCACCAACTTGTAAGATATCAGAATGCCCTGCTGTTCAGATCCAGAAAAGCCCTTCTCTGGCCTTGGCCCAGACAGCTAAAGAATTGCTCTATAGAGTGAGATGGTGACAGTCTGGGCTTAGCAGCCAGAAATGCCAAAAAGCCCCTCTTTCGAGACATATCTACATTAACCCCCAAGATCCGTTTCTCCAAGATCTAGCAGACACTGGAGAAAGGGTTTTGCAAGCAGGCAACCTAGCCCATTTCACTGGTCACACCAGAATCCCAATTCCTGACAATAAAGATATTTTGCCAGCTTTGTCCTGTATTATACCCTGAATGTCGAGAGGAGCACCTGAAAAATCATAAGCATTCCACAGATACTGACACTGCATTATTACCAGCTCTGAATGTGAGGACAATTTCTAGAGCTGAGACAAACAGGGCACCCACACATAGGAACCTCTTGGGAGCCAAGGAGAGGTAGGCACATGACCCTGATTGAAGATATTTTGCTCCCTGGAGGCCAGCAGACCTGAAAGGAGTTCTGCATTCAGGGGACAAGAAGGGGCAGAAACACTTGCCCTTCCTCTGGCCCACAGCAGAGAGAGCTAGTCTGCAAGCATCCAAAGGTCTCCAGCATGGACTGCCTCTCCCAGCCACCTGGCTTTGGTCACTCACTCTGGGCTAGATCCAAGCCCCCACCCCAGGAAACTTGGCCAGAGGCAGGCAAGGTTCCCTGCCACCTTTTCCTTTTTGGGTTGCAGTGATCATGAGCTCATTCACTGTACTTTTTCCAAAAAAAAGAAAAGAGAACCTTTTGTACCAGGGCTTGGATGCTTTTTCCTCTAAGTGCAAGTAAGGAACCTAGGTTTGACAATCAGAAAAACAATTTTCCAGCCAGCCTTCAGCTGGCAGACCAAGCTGCACATCTGACACCCAGCAGATGAGCACAGAACAAGCACCATCTCTCTACCTACAGCGGGGGGCTCAGGGAGGCATCCTCTGCCAGCCACAGAAATGACTGGTGGCTCAGGCTGTCACCTGCTTGCCTATCATCTCAGAAAGGACTGTAGGGCAAGCTGAGGGTGTGCTTCTATTCAGTGGCCCCAGCTGCCCAGAGGCAGATATCGAAGCAAGGGGTGGGCAGCACCAGAGCAGTGCCTAGAAGAAATGCTTCCCCCTCCCCACCACGTGCCTCTTTCTTTGGCCCTGACAGATGGGTGAGTACCCCAGCCCTCCCAAAGCCTCTGTTTTAAATATATAAAAACACGGGTAGGGGCAATGCCTGTGGCTCAGTGGGTAGGGCACAGGCCCCATATATTGAGGGTGCAGGTTCGAACCCAGCCCTGGCCAAACTGCAACAACAACAACAACAACAAAGCATGGGTAGATGCTTATATAGGACAGAGTGGATTAAAGGATACCACATACATAAAGCATCTAGCCAAAGGTCTAGCTTACAGTAGGTGCTCAAAAAAAGGCGAGTCCCTCTGCTATCCTTTGACTATGCCAGCCTAGTAAAACCTAGTTTTAGGCTCGGCGCCTGTGGCTCAATTGGCTAAGACGCCAGCCACGTACACCCAAGGTGGCGGGTTTGAATCCAGCCCGGGCCTGCCAAACAACAATGACGGCTACAACCAAAAAACAGCGGGGCGTTGTGGTGGGTGCCTGTGGTCCCAGCTACTTGAGAGGCGGAGGCAGGAGACTCTCTTGAGCCCAGGAGTTGGAGGTTGCTGTGAGCTGTGATGCCATAGCACTCTACCCAGGGGGACAGCTTGAGTCTCCTGTCTCAAAAAAAAAAAACCCCAAAACAAAAAAACCAAGAAAAAACCAACCTAGTTTTAAAGATTTAAAAAGTTTTTTGAAATACATTTAATAAATAAATACATATTAATCATTTAATAAATACATTTATTTTTGAAAAGTAATACATCCAAATGATTCAAAATTCAAAAGATACAAAGGTTATTTATTCTTCCTTGTCTGTTTCCCAGTTGTCTAGTTCCTTTCTCTGGAGGCAACCAGTGTAACCATTTTTCATGTAATCTTCTAGATCTACTCCATTCACATGTAGTGGGAGAATCATCACTGCAAGCATGAAGAGGGCTGTAATCTACCTTATTTTATTCACTATTCCACCTCCTATACCTGGCTCATGACAATAAAGATATTTTGCCAGCTTTGTTCTGTATTATACCCTGAAGATGCAGCCTACTGAATGAATAAATGAATGAAAGAAAGTGTAGTTTCTACTTATTTAAGGCTAATAATGAAAAAGCTGTTCTTCAAGGCCATGCAGAGTTCCATGGATGGAAAGGGCTAAAATGGAGAGGTGATAAGGTGTCCTTTGAAATAAAGTCAAGGCATCTACATTACATATTTTGCTATCATCATATCACTTAACACTCAAAGCTCCAGTTGGTCAGTCCAGTCAACATCCCTGGCTGTACAATTTGTGAAATTTTGCCAAAGGGCCTTTTGAAATCACAGAGTACAGACACCCCTGCAGCTTTTCTGCTCCCCTCCTTCTGGCTTGCCTGCCCCAGGACTCACCCTCCTGTCAACTACAATGGGCCAGCAGAGGCCCAGGTTTCCATGGGTGGGTATGGGAGGTGCTCCAGATTGCAGACCAGCTGGGAGATGCTAATGAACAAGCTCAGAATGACTGTACCCAAACTAGGAAATACGTTTTATTTTTCTATGAACTGCCACAGCTAAATCAAGCTGAGATGATTCTAGTCCACAGAAAGCTCAGGGTACTTAGCAGTTCACTGACAGCTTGAAACCCAGAACTCCTTCCTTCAGCAATTGAAACCTGCCTTGGTGGAAGCTCAGGGCCAGAAGACAGCACCAAGGCAGAGCCACCTGAGGCTGTGGAAATGGGCAGGAGCCAGAGCTCTTCTCACCTTGCCTCACCCTTGTGGCCCAGAAGCAGCAGGGAGGAAATAGGATCATTTCAGTCTAGACAAAGAAGACTATTCAGACACAGCAGGTATCATTCTGATCTACACACTTGGTGCAGTTTAACTATCCAGGCTTGAATTAAAAAAACAATCTGACCAGGCTGCTTTCCCAGAAACATTCTGCAGTTCAGGGAAAGACAGAGGCAGGTGAAATATAATGGAGGGGGACAGTTTAGTGTTCTCTTTTTTTCCCAAGAAAGCCCTAAAAAAGCACTGTTGTTCAGGATAACAGGTGACATTTTTGGAGAGAGATGGGAAATGGCCATGCTTTAATACTGTCCTTCGCATAAACCTCGAGAACTTACATTTGTGTTTAAGGACAGGACTTGAAAATCAGCACCATAATGGACTCTTGTATTCAGAAAAGGTATGGAAATGTTCCATTTTCAGAAAAGTATTCGGGATGAACCTATTTAGACTCCCCCTGCCCTAGACTGGATAAAACATATTCCCCATATGGCAGAAAACAAAAACAATCACTGGAGATATTTCTGCTCAGGCCATCTGACATCTGTACTTTAGACCACAGGGTCCTGGATGTCCACAGCTAGCATGGGAGATGGGGCATGGCACATTGTACATGTGGAGTGGCCTCTATGCTCCACTGCCAGACTGCTGAACCTCGTAGATGACACTGGTTTATTCAATGAATATTAGGCATCAAGGAAGGGGGAAGAAAACCTACTCCAAGTTTTGATGGGTCTTCTTTGTGCCATAAAGTATGCTAGGCATAGGCTGTCTGTGAAGGGACCACCAGCTTTGGTGCAACGTGGCTCCAAGGTCCATGAAGAAACCCTCCAGGAAGTGTTAAAAATTAGAAGCAATAGCTATGTTTAGTGCTCTCAATTGGAGCCCCATGTAGAAGAGGATGAGAAAGGAATTGCCTTCTTCCTACTTTCCTTTGGTGTGAAGGGACTCTGAAGGGTGATGCTTCTGCAATCCTCCAGCAACTGAGTTGGCACCTGACAAGATATATTCCCCCTTTCTACTTCCTGCTGCCTGGGAAGCTGTCTGTGATCTAGCCACTCCCTACTCACCAGTTGGAAAACATGCACCAGTCTCCTAGGGCCTGTCCCACAGGGCTGGAGACACACTCTACCTCTCCTCCTTCCCTCCTGACACTTATTACCTTAGTGGTCCAGAAACACACTCCGCTTTGCACTGTTACTTTGCACCACACTTTACAATATGGCCCAGAGACACTAGAAGACCATTAAGGATAAGGGACCCTGTTTCATGCTGTGTTTCTTTTAGATCCCACCCTGCACCTCGTACAGAGATAGTACACTGGAGATGTTGGGTAATAAACAGTAATAGATACCATTTATTAAATCCCCATGTCAGGCAGGTCACAAATATACAAGTCACTCTTACACTAACAGAGGAAGAGGGAAGTACAGATTTTAGGATGAGAAACTGAGTCGTAGCTTCCTCAGCCTCACCAGGTGCTCTGTGCCCATCCCGTCAGGTGATTGCTGACGTCAAAAGTGCTTCCTTCAGCTGTGAGAGGAGCCCTAAAGAGTGCTGACAGCTGCACTCCCAGGCCCAGAAACAACATAAGAATTTTATCACCATCTCTGTCCTCTGCCTCTTAGTGGCAGACAGGCTCTCAGCTTAGAGTGGGCTTTGACTCGGTATCTGAAAAAGGGTCACTGACCAGGGTCTGGGTAATTTTTTTCCTTTCTCCTCCCAGACTGAATTGCAGAAGGCCTCAGAAAAGACAAAGACAGATTGAAGTAAATTATTTGTCCTGATTTTCTAACCTTGTCAACTGCTTTTAGGGGAGGGAGGCAGGATGGGGTGGGGGAAGGGGGAAGACAAACAGCAGGGAATGAATAACTTATCTGCCAATGGCTCGGGGCTGTCCTTCCCAAGGCAGACCAGACTTGGAAGCTCCTCTAACAATGAGTAACTTCTTTTCCATGGAGCAGGCTGCTAGT